ATAAGCGCCTGGGCGAAATGGGGCCCGGGAGCGCTGCTCAGTGTCGGAGAGAGCGAGGAAAAAGTTCTGTTGACTTTCTTGGAAAGCGTTCAATAATCATCAGGTTGACACTGATTTGTGTGTCGGGAAAGCTGCTATCGCGTTTCCTCGTGTAGCTCTTCGCCCCTGTAATTTTGGCTCTAGCGATGGTGCGCGCACCGGAGCGCGCCCGCTCGGCCAGCGCCGCGGAGCGACCCAACCCAGGTGACAGCTGCGGAAATCTATTTCCAGTGAAAAACTTTTATGGAAAAAGCATAAATTATGTCAGCTTTCTAAAAGCCCGAAAATAGCTGAGGGACTTGTCACATTTGTTTTTAATCCCTTGTCACTGAATGATCTTCTATATTAGTCGTATTAATTTTCGATTACATTTTCAAAGCAGATTGAGATAAGGGCTTTAAAGTAAACAGGAAGACTTTCAATTAGTTGTGGCTAATTCTGTTCAATTGCCTTGTCTGGAGGTCATGCTGCTTTACTCATGAAATGTGGATGGCTGTATTGACACCATATGGAACTGAACACAGACATGGCTCTGGGAGTTGAATATTTCCAGGACTGGCGTAGGAAAGTGTGAGAGGAAAGAAACTTTTTTTTTGTTGGCTTATGTGATTGAAGCTTATGGATCAAACACTGGATCTGCTTTACATTCAACAACTGGTTTTGCTTCCTGTTATATTTCATCCTCCTGTTCTTTTGAACTATTTCAGGATGCTCACAAGCTTTCTGACAAAACCTAAGGCTTTTTTTGATACTAAGCTAAGCTTCATAGTTTAGTTTCTTAGCTTAGTTTACTTTAGTGCTATTAAGTTAAAATCCACGTGTGGTAAACAAAAAAACAAGGGGAAAAATAACAACACTTTCGTTTTTTAGACTTGCCTTAAAAAACATTTTGCGTTAGCAGTAATTCAAATTTGTCTTTTCCACTTATGTTCCCGAGAGACAATAAAATGCATTGCAGGGCTTTTTTGTTAGCACAAGGGAGATTTTTCTAATTAGAATTCCCCTGGTAGTGTAAATTGTCCTTATGTAAGTTCACATTCCTTTAAAAGTGTGAGAAAATAAGTTCTGCTTGTATAAATAAGCTTTGGCCTGTTGTAAGAAACCCTGCTGTAAGAAACCCTGCTGTGATTACTCAGTGGACAGCTGTGTCACTTGCTTTTAAACTCACAGGAGTACATCTTTTAGGTGTCACCAAACCATGTGGTCTGACCGCTTTTGTGTAAATATTTCTTTTGATTGTGTCAAATGCCTTAGAAGTATCCAGCTTTCTTCCTTCCCCTCTTAATAAGAGAACACGGAAGAGTGTGGCGTTGCCTGTTACCTCCAGCTACCCCAGTACTTCGAGCTGGGATTGTGCAATCTGTAAGGTTAATGCGTTCATCTTTACATATGCAAAAAACGTTTGACTAGTCTAGATTATTGTTGCAACATTACAAATTGTAAAAGACTGTTTATGAATTTTATTGCTATATGTTTACTGTGTTTTCCATGGAAGTCCATAGCGGGTATAGCCAAAGGCTAGTAGTTTAATTGCAGGCTTTCCAATCCTCTTGAGAAAACAACTATTACCCCGTGTTCTCAACATACGCAGGTGAGGTCTCCCAAGCAGCAGAGTGAAAGCTCTTCTGCCTGAGAAGGTCTAGACCTGTGTTATGCTTTACACCTTCCTTTGCCCATCTGTCTTAACCATCTTGCCCAGATGGTTAGCAGGTTTTTGAAACTCTTGTTTCATTATTTCATGCCTTTTGTGTTCAAATCCTCTGTTGAAATAAAATAAAAGTGACCTCTCAGTGTGCAAGGAGGGAAATAAAAAAAATAGACCCTGAGTTCTGTCCTCTTCTTTTTGATCATAAGTATGAGTCTACTGCTTTGTACAGAAGTGGCTTCACAGTGGGGTGTAAACAGGCCAACTTTACTGTGATTTTAACCAAAAATACCATATTCTGTTACCCTGCTTTCGTGGGAGATAACAGTCTGCTGAAAACTCATAAACATTTTTAATGGCTTTGTGTACAAATAGTTTTGAATTTAGATTTACATTTGATTCCAGGATGTGTGTCCCAAGATTGTAAGAATGTGGCTTTGTTAGAGCTGGTGTAGCAGAGCTGGAAGAGGAGGGATGGAGGGGAAGAAGAGTGTTGAGTGTTGGCCAGTGTCTCCCAGGTGTGCAAACTCCTGCTGGCATTGCTGTACCCTTCACCAGGTTCACTGAGGAATGCTGAAACTGTTGGTGGGATAGGAGGGAAAGTCTGAAAGATGGTTTTCACTTGTGTTTATATTACATCTTTAGTATTTATATTTTATAAATCCTCTAGTGGTCTACCAGAACTGCCAGAAAAAAGGCCGTATGGTTTTCACAGCTGTTTTTCAGTATTTTCCAGACTAAAACTTGAACATAGCAGGCTGATTTATGAATCACTTTGGATCAGTGTCTTAAAACAGCTACAGCCTGGCTTTTTGTTTTTCAGCTCTGCTGATTTCTGCTGAATTAGCAGCTCTATAGGCCCCAGTGGGACTGATTAAGGAGCTGTTGCTGGATTTGCATTTTAAAATTTGACTTTGGGCTCAGGTTTCTGAGTTCTCTAAGGAAGATGATAATTGTGACTAAGTGTTTTATATTAAGTTAGAGTCTAAAAGTTATATCTCTAAAATGTGTGAAGAAGCACTTGCTCTCTCTCTCCCTCTTTGCATTAGGCCTTCCTTTCAGTTTTTGATCAAACAAATGTGGTTCAGAGTTACATTTCAGCTAATGCTGAGACTTTTGACTTATGAAAGATGGTCATACAAACATAATGGAACATAGAAAATAGTTTCTTTCATAGGACAGGTTCTTAAAGGGCCTCCAAAACTGTGACGTGCTTTTTCAATTGGGGCAATTCTACTTAAATGTCCAATCACTTTTATTAGAACTCAGAAGTGAAGTACAGGTATATATGCTTATTATTTTTATAAATAATTTCTTAATATAAATCTGGTTTCTAAAGTTTCAGAGTGCATTCTCTATATCTTTAATGACTTCTGAAATTCTAGTAGCAAAAGTAATCAGAGGAAATTTTCTCCCCCCTTGTAATGTGATTTTAACAGACAAGGAAAATTTAGAAATGGAAAAAAGACATAGTAATAGTGTTTTAACATTGTCATTTCCATTTCTATGAAGGAAAAATACTGCTTAATTTTCCAACTTTTTCTTCCTACTTGTTTTAAGATATGTTGAGAAATGCATTGAACTGAAATGTACTTGTAGCTTTGCAACAGAGATGATAGATTTTTATATTTAAAAAATGTCTCCAGTCCAGTGCTTATAAGTTTGAGAAACTTCTGCAGGCTTAAGCTTCACTTAGAACGTTAGTAAAAGGCAAATATTTTAACTCTTGGTTCACTTCCAGCCACTCTGATTTAACTTTAAATGTGACTTGCAAAGCTTTTTTCTTTTCCAGAAGTTTCTCATGCCAGTAGTACTAAAAATAATGTTTAATAAAATGTTGGTAATTCATATTCTATCCAACTATGGGTGGACAAGCATGTATACAGCTTTATGAAACAGGCAGTTCAATATTGTCTGGAAGGCTGGTGTTTTTTTGTTGTTCTTTTGCCTCAGGTTTTTTTTTTTGCAACTCATATTTGACAACCTGCTGTAAGTAAACCAAGCATGAAGAATTTGTATGTATGTATTTTTTTAAAGTAGATGCTACTTGGAAAATGTGAATGTATCTTTAGTGTTAAAAAAACAAACACAAAAAAAGTAGTTTGAAACTTAGTGTAAGTTACACTCCTTGATAGACTCCAGATGGATGTGAGCTTGAGCTATGAGTGAAAGTGTCTGGCTCCAGTGTGGTGATCATGCACAGCAGTGGTTGTAATTGCAGGATTTTTATAGTTTAAGGACTCTGCCAGATTTTTTTTTTTTTTTAACATGTTATAACTCCAGCAGAACAAATCTACTCACGTCTGTTACTGTCTGGTAGGTCCTTTAGGCAAACATGCTTTAAATAAACCTTTTGCAGGGTTTTTAGATGAAATGAAGAAAGCAGGTTTTTAGCACTAATGTTGAAAGGTCTTTGTTGAAATAATTACTGATTCTTAAGTCTTGTCTGAAGCATGAAAAACAGTAACATATTGGGCACTAACAGCCATAACTTAACTGAATTTCATCTGTTTATTCACATAGTTCTTATAATCCCTACAGATTAAAGCCAAATATTGATTTAAGTTTAAGGGTAAAATTTGTCTCTACTCTGCTTTAAGGAACTAAGCTAGATTCCAGTATAGATCTTTGTAACAGCATATTTTTTCAGTATTTACACTTAAAAATGCAGTATGAGAATTTCAAATCTGTGCAGTTAATGCCTTCAGATGTTAAACAAAGGGATTTTTCTCCATTCTGTGGCTAGGAGAATGTTTACACTAGATTGTTAAGCAGTGAAAGATGCAATCCTCTAGTTTAAGTGTGGTTAACCTAATTTACAGGAGAACTCAAAATCATAATGGTGAAGTTAACATTTGTGGGTTTTAGGAAATGTTGACACTGTATTGGTTTTCCATCCTTAAGAGGAAAATCTGAAGGGATTTAGACACCTGGAAGAAGGCACAGATTTTATATTAGGTGCTTGAGTCCAGAGCTGAGTCTTTGAAAACATCCCCTCTGTGGCCACCTGAAGGTGGTTGAGGACGTTCTCTTTCTCTAGGTGGCTCTCCTTCAGCCTTCGGCCTCAATTTTTGGGCAGGAAAATGCTGTTTGCACCTGCGGGTCTGCCCTATGCACACTCCTGTGCAGCCCTGGTTTGGGAAATGCAGCATGTTTTTTGTCTCTGCCCACGGCCCTGAGCCAGGTGCTGGTGCCACAGCTCAGCAGCCCACTAGGCCTGGTGCAGTTGGCTTGCTCAGAGCACACCTCGTAACTGAGTATTGGTGGTACACTCGTAATACCCATACGTGCCTGGGATTATTTTTTATATTTGAGTTTTATTACTACTGGTTTTCTAACCACCAACTGCAGGGGAGGACAAAAGTGACAAATCTATCCTGGCAATGTTGAATAAATCAGCTGGGGGAGACTAAAACACAGTTTTACTATCCATGTGTGCTGTTGAAGAAACGTACGTGCCTGGCTGGGTTGCAGCATTACAGCTGTGTTTCAGGATATGCAATGGTGGGTGCAGAGAAATGAGTTTTCTGGGTCTGCAGTTGTGTAGGACTTAGTCACAGAGCAGAACACCTAGAAGAGACATTGGACTTGGCTTAATTTAAGCTAGTTTTGGTCTGTGTGCATCAAGGATATGCTGTTCATCAGGTTTCTTCACTTCCAGAACTGTAGAGGGATAGTAGACACATCCATGGCAGTCAGGCCTGTGTTTGGCATGCTCAGTATGGATGACTGTACTGAGTCATCTTGCTTGGAAAAAGTAAGGAATCCTGTAGTTTACTCATAGATTCAACTTGAAATACACTTCACGCCTGTGCGGCTTGATGAGAACCCCAGGCATGTTGGATGACTGTTGAGTGCTTAATTAGCACAGAGAAAAGTGTCATGAAATGTGAGAAACTTTTTCAGAAGACTGCTTTTTAAAGCACCTTTTACCCATTCACTGCTGAGGTGTGCTGATTCATTTCTTTATATGCCTGCATTACAACGCTCACTGGAGTTTAAGAATTCCTTAAAAATAATGTAGTTTTTGTTTGCTGGCTTGGATAAATGCAGTGTTTTAACATGCAAGAAATGCTTGCAGAGGGCTGGAGTGATAGAGATGAGGTAGTGACAGTCTGTAGTAGGGGGCAGGGAAGTGCATGTTTTGGGGGATGAGCGGCTGAGAAGGGGGAGGCCTTCAACAGAGCTGGTCTTGGTTAGATCAGTTGTGAGACTGTACTGCTTGTGCAGGTGTTTATAGACGTGCAAGTTTGTTCTGTAGTTGGCTCTGCATTTTACTGTGTGATCCCTCATATTTCTTTGATATTTCCAGTACTTCTGAGTAAAAATTTCTTAAGTCTCTATTGCGTGGTGTCAAATGTTTGAGAGCACATATGGCAAATATGCATGATAATGTAAGGAAAAGCATTTCTTGGCAGTGGTAAACAAAATGTGTTGCATTTTTAGTACCTGGCTTGTTTTGCAGCATACTGCAAAGGTACTAACAGGATTTTTTTATGAATTGCATCAAAAGATATTTGGAATCTTCAATACAAAGTGGCACAAGCTAAGTGCTTGAGCTGCTTCTTCAAGTGTAGTTAAGTGTGGTAATAATATCACTATTATATAGACATCTTAAAACTCAGAACTGGCTCTTCCTATGTCTGTTTTCTTCTGATACTACTGAAGATCTCCATTAAATTTGGTTATGTAGAAATGGTGTCCTGAATTGTGTGAAAGCATGAAAATACAGTTTAGATTTATGGATAGTCCTCATTATGTATTTGTGATCTGTCTGTTGCTGTAAAGAAGGGAGTGAGAAGAGTAAATGGTACAAATGTTATGATTAGCTGAAGGAATAAGGCTGCAATGACTATTGGTTTATGAATTTTCCTTGTTCAAACAACGATGAGGTTGTTTTAGCCAGACCTCTTGTTGTGAAGGGATGCAGGAGGGGGGTTGTCGGTGTATATGACTCAGAATCTTAAGACGTTTTTCATGGGTCTTACATTCCAATGAACATTCTAAATTGTTCAGAGATAGAGAAGTTTCTTTCACACTGCTGGCAAGAAGTTTCTTTCACACTGCTGGCAATGATCAAGGTATTTGCACTTACTTATGCCGTGTATACTCAAACGAGTTTCTATTCTGATTTTACTAATATAAAAATATCTTCTTACATACTTGTAGACAAGTGGTAACATTATTTGGATTGAAATAGTATTGCTTTACCCGATATTGTATGGCAAAACTGACAGGCTGTTTGTTTTTGTAACCTCATAGGGACTTAAGTCACAACAAATTATCTTCAATCAAGACCAGTCTCTTGGATCACCTTCATAGTCTTCAGGAAGTGTAAGTTAATTTGTCTTAATTAAAAACCAAACCAAAACAAAAAACTCCAACCAAAAATACCTAACCTCTGTTTGTGTATGCTAATTGTATAGCTATTTCTCTAGGGATAGTTGGTTAAACAACAAAGATGTTTGCTCTTCTGATATTTTACATTAAGTGAAACTGGAATTATTTTTAATTTTGAGGTGACACAGCTCAGCAATTTAGCAAATTCAGTGTACATACTTTTGATTAACATTAAAGCTAACCCTTTTGTAATATTAATAGGAAGCTGAACTACAATGAACTGGAGATCATTCCAGATCTGGGACCAGTCTCTGCGAATATAACTCTTCTGTCTTTGTAAGTAGATCTTACTCTTGTCCCTGGTTAGTGGAACTAACTCTGCAGAGTTCATAGAAATTCGTGCATTACAGAGATTAAAGTGAAATAATTGGAAATAGAGCAGCTTGTGGTTAGGAAGTTGATTATGTCATATTATTTAGCAGGTTGTTTAAAATGTGTATAATTGAGCTTAATCCTGGTAGTTTTTGTGCTTCTCTCAGATACAAAGACTGCATTAGAATTAATTTATGTTGTGGTAGTGCCCAGAAGCCTCAGTCCTGTTGCACTAGGCACTGTACAAACATCAGTAATCGTTATACAAACTTGTACAATGCAGTCTTTAAAACAAGAGTTATGCTCTATCATTATGCATCTTGGCTGAGATCCTCGTGTGTTAAATCATGGTAGAATTCCATTAATTTCAGTGGGCAACACAGGGAAATCCCCTCGAGACAGCTTCAGGACAAGTATCTAGGTTAGAAGATGTTTTGCCAATGTCTCAAAAATGTCTTTCTGAGCCCATTTTAATGTGTGGCATGTTTTTTTTATGGCTGAAGTTAATACATATAATTGTGGCACACAATTGTGTCCATGTTCATTGTTTATTTGAAAGAAATGAGTAGGTCAGTTGATGTAGTAACAACTGTAATACGAGTATAAAGTTACAAAAGGCGTATAGGGCCTGTAACCAAAAAAGTTGTTTTAAAGGAAATCTTAATCCTGAAGTTTTCACTTGAAATTAGTTGTTTGTTTTTTTTTCTGTGATCTAGTTTCAATGTGAACTTGTAGAAAAATAGTTACTATCATACTGTTAATTAGAAAAAAAAGAAGTGTTTTTCATGTGTGTGATTTGCGTTTTATCAATGAGAATCTAAAGTGTCTAAAGCTGTGAATATGTAGTCCTCTGGCCAAATCCTGTCCTTGAATACAAATTGCAAGTTACCTTGCTTGAAGAAGCCTGAAGGGTTAAAACAATACAGTAAATTTTGGAAGGATGTTCAGTTAATTAAATCGATCACTATTCAATTGCTTACATCTGGTGATTTATAGGGGTTTGTTGTTACTCTAGGCCCAGGTCAGCTAAGTCAGCTGGTGCAGCCGCTGTGTCTGGTCTGCTCTGTTTGAATAAGAACTAAGTGACATTTGATACTGATGTGGTTTCTTACAGATCAAAATCTGAAAAAAATGAAAGAAAAAGCAGATGGTTTCTGACAAATAAGTGTTGCATTTAAGCACATCTTTTATTTTGCAGTACCATTGACATTATTTTTACACTGACATAGCATTCTGTACTTTTAAGCATCTAATTGATCTAAAGAATATATACTTTTTTTACTACCTTGCTAAGGTTCTTTTTACCACAAGGCTAGAAATATTAACATAATAAAGTGGTTTATATCCTCGTATTTTACTTCTGATGAATACAAAGTTGAGAATTTATCTTAACATCTCCTTTAGTTCTTCTCATGGAAACCTAACAAGTTTAGATGAACCTAAAATCATCCTTCTGCCGCTGTGCAAAAATTTTTGTATTCCTTTGAGAGAATTTTCAGGCTCTGCTGAATTGGTTATTTCATATCCTTAGGTCCCTGGCTTGGTTCATTTACTCAGGTGGTCAAACATGGAAAGATCTTCATTAGATCTGCTCTGTACTGTATATGCTGACGCGTAAGAGGGGGAAAAAAGGTATTTCTAGAAGTGTTATCATACTACCAATGTGGTTAAAGTTGGTCTGGTTGGGTGTTAGCTTGTTCTCACTCTAATTCTTTGTGTGGAAAAGGAGATTACTGAATATAACTGTGCTACAGCTGAGATTTAATGACTATTCTATGACTACATCAGAGATTCCTTGAGATTAATGTGGTAGAAATTAAGTATTTAAATATTATATGTTAACTTATGAATGTCGATGTACAATAGTTAATTGTTCTGTATGAAAACAGATGAACATAGAACATAAAGTTAAAGTGGTATTGTTCAGAAATAAAGCATCTTGTTTGTTTTGCGAAAGTTTTCTTTAAAACATGGAATAGAATCACAGAATCTTTTAAGTTGAAAAAGACCTTTAAAATCATCGAGTCCAACTATTAACCCAGCGCTGCCAAGTCCACCACTAAACCATGTCTGTAAATGCCACATCTGCACATCTTTTAAATGCCTCCTGGGATGGTGACTTAACCCCTTTCCTAGGTAGCATGTTACAATGCTTGACAACCCTTACTATGATGATATTTTTCCTAATTTCAATCTAAACCTCCCCTAGCACAACTTGAGGCCATTTCCTCCTGTCCTATCACTTGTTACTTCAGAGACCGACCCCCACCTTGCTACAACCTCCTTTCAGGTAGTTGTAGAGAGTAATAAGATCTCTCTTGAGCCTCCTTTTCTCACTGGTTAGATGTTATATATTAAATCTCATTTTACAGAAAATAATATAAATGAAGAGAAATAAACATACAGCAGTTTTCTAGCATAAAAATACATGTAATATAGTGGTAGCATAGAAGGACAAATATTCAATATAATGATACTTTTTTTTGGTAAAAGTGAAAAAATATGTTCATTTATTTTTTTCTGTCGCGGATGTTATTTGAAGGGGGTTGAATCAAACTAAATTAATATATCTAAGTCATGCAAAGAGAACACATAGGGAACAATTAGAATATAATTTTTAGAACCACTCTTCAAAGAAACATCTAATGACTATCTCCAGGATTTTAAACTTCTATGTGAAAGGAGCTTGTGGAGACTTTCCAGAGCAAACCACTGTTTCCTTGTTGCATCTTTGTTCTGACTTTCAAATAATAGCAAAAAAGAGGGTGCTAGTCTTCTGAAACTTGATTTCATTACATTTCTTATGAGATATGTATATGTTGGTTCATTACTGTCAGTTGAAAAGCCAGTTGTTTTTTATCGAGGAGTCTTCAAGGAATGCTGTGAAAGTGGTGCCCTCTTTTCTTGCCAATATCTTTATTGTAGAAGAAGCTCTCCCACAAGAGTTTTATTTTACTTCTTTATAATTGTCACTCAGCTAGGGAGCCTTAAAATTTTACCTGTTCTGCAAGAATTTTCTTGCCCTGCAGAGAAAATTATGCTGTTGATATGTCTGCATAATAGTATGGGTATCTCCACACAGCTGTGTATATCTAAATTCTCGGAGCAGTATAAACAAGCATAGGTGGATTATCATGTGAGTGTAGTTTCCATTTCTGGAGCTGCCTCATTTCTACCTACCTAATTCATATATACCTAATGGAGATATTTACATATTAATGAATTATTCAAGGTAAACCCAGAGCAGCAGATGTTCCTGGTCTCGTGGTCCCAGTTGTCTGTGACATGAAACAACAATGCCAGTATTTTGTTTTTACAGATGCCAGTTGAGAGTTGACCATCATGGGAGAGAAAAGTATCAGGCAGGCATACATCCCCTCACCACCCTGGGAAGACCTTATATCAGTGTGAGCGAGTATACAAGCATATTCAGGCACACTCTTATTACATGGCTGGAGATGCATCTATGATTTTATTCATGTGATGAATATGTATCTTGTCACATGGAATAGGAGAGCTTGTGAACCTCCTGGGAATCTGGAAACTCCTGTGAGCTATATGGCTGGTACTTTGGGCTAAATCTGGTCAGGAGGCCTTATGTTGTGAAACTGTGTTGGCCTGCCTGACATAAACAGATATAATATGTTTCAGAGAGAGCAAGAGTAGGATTCATATTCCCTAGCCTAATTTCTCAAAAGTTTGACTTTGTAAGTATGAATTACTGTCGATCCTCTTAGAGTAGTGTAGGTGTATTTATCTATCCCTAGAAGAAAATGTTAGATGTTTTCTAATTTGTGTTCCTGAAGTGCGTATAAAACCAGTTAAATAATGTAGAATTACTTTAAATGATTGTAGTAGAAAATTGTTCATTGGTGGGAAAAAACAATTTACTTTTTACCATTTCAAGATAGGTGGATTGCTTTTGTGTCAGGTATTAAAATGGGCACTAATGCCCTCATTGAAGGAGAACAAGCAAAGATTCTGAATTTGTTTTCCATTCTAATGACATTCCTTATCCAAGATATATCAGTCCTCTCCTATTTATCCTGAAAATTGGCCCGAATAGGTGATGTTGATACACGAGAAAAAAAACAGTATTGCATTTTAGGTCTATCACAGTTGTAGTTTTGTGCCTAGGTTGAATCCAGAAATTGAGAGAAACCAAGTAATACATATATAAAATAGCCTTGTATAGAAGTCCTGCTCGGTGTTTAACTAACAACTACCATTTGCATGGGGGTTTTACTTTAAAGTTTTTCTGAAAGTGTTACCTACTTTTAGTGTTATTAGTGCTTTATAAGGAAGAAAGATATTGGTTTGCAATTTATGTGATGCTGTTTAAAGTTTGTTCAAGGATATATGGTTTAAATAAGAAACCCATGCTACTTGCAGAATTTTTAAAAATATGTAATTGTAGGCTCCATCCAACATCATCAATGCACCGTATCCATGAGTAATGTGGAAAATGGAAGGCAAAAGTGACTTTGAAGAGACAGAACAGCTTTGAGTATTAAAATATCCTGACTCTCTAACAGGATTTTATTGTTCTAATAAAAATGCACGTGTAGAACTAATTTTAAAGACACGTTTCTTATTATCCATGTCCAGAATATGTTAATGTAGTAATCGTTTTGCTGTCTGTAGAGACTAGATAAGCTGTACATAGCCAAGTCTATAGTGCACATAGTGAAATTCCAGCATTAGACTAGTTTTCAACAATGGAGTGTTTTAAACTTGTGATTTTAGATTTTGTTGAATAGAAAATATTTAAAGGCACTAGTATATATGGTGCAGGTGATTTAAATGAAAACAGCCTTGTGGCTTATGTTGTAAAGACTGATCATGTTAGTCTAGAACACAAACAAATATTTGGGCTTAGTAAAGCCAGACTAGAAAATGCAAAATTCACAGTGCAGAAGTTAAAGGGAGAATGGATGATTCACAATTGAGGAATGTTTTTCAAG